TAAAACTCACAAAATAGGGCCTGGAATAAGACTTCAAAGCATGCAAGATGGAGCCCCTTTGGAAGGCCAACAATGCTAGTAAAGAGAACAAGGGGTGAGAGGGTCACCCCTCTCTGATTTTGAAGCTCAAAAACACATCTAAGCCACTGAAAATCCACCAGATTTCAGTGACTAAAAGGCCAAACCAAGGCCAAAGCAAATGCTCAAATACAAGGCTCAAAACATGAGGAAATGAAGCATAGAAGGGGAAAGATGACCCCAAACAGAAACATTCCCTTAATCAAACTTCAAGAGGGGCTCAAAATAAGACTCAAAAGCACATCTAAGCCACTGAAAATCCACCAGATTTCAGTGACTAAAAGGCCAAACCAAGGCCAAAGCAAATGCTCAAATACAAGGCTCAAAACATGAGGAAATGAAGCATGGAAGGGGGAAGATGACCCCAAACAGAAAAATTCCCTTAATCAAACTTCAAGAGGGGCTCAAAATAAGACCTTTTTAGTTTATGGAAAATCTCAAAAATGCTTTCAAGTAAGGCTAAGATATCATGCAAAATAAGCCCTAAAAGAGAGATAAAGCATACAAGGATGTAGGAGACCTCAAACAGAAAAGTATCCTTAATCAAACTTCAATAGGAGCTCAAAATAAGGCACTTTAATGTTTATGACAAAGTCCAGAAATGCTTGCAAATAAGGCTAATCAATGGAGCAAAATAATGCAAGAAAAAGGAAAATGGAGAATTACCCTTGAAGAGCAGGTTTCCAGCAGCTTCTGGACCAAGATGGGAGCTCCTTAACCTCTGCAAATCAGCTCCAAGATGCTTGGGTGGATGATGGAGGTGTTGTACCAAGGGTTGGTGTGCAAATGGTGCAAGAAAATTAGGGTTTGGAGCTTGGAATAGTAAGCTATGGAGAAAGAAGTGTATAAGCCTCTAGCAAACTTGCTGAACCCTTGCAAATGAAGACAAGCCTCTCCTTTATAGAGGAGAGGCTCCAAAGCTTCTCTAGGAACCCTCAAATATCCTCCATACACGTATGGAGGATGGTCCAAATGCCTCCCAACTGGCACAACTAGATTGCATTCAGAGAGAGCAAAAAGCAAAAAGCAAAAAGCAGGCCGACCAGTTCTAGTGGCCGGCCGGCCACTCCCCCTGGTCTACCGACCGGGGGTCAAAAGGTTCAAGGAGAAATGCTGGCCGGCCACCCCAGAAAGGTGGCCTCCCAGATGAGTGCAACACAGCTGTATGGTGGAAAATCAGAAAATTTGACCCAAGAGAGAGAAAAATCAGCTTTTTAGCAAGGTTCAAAAGGGTCAAGAATAACTACTGGTCGGCCTACCCATATTGGTGGCCTCCCAGTTGAGCACAACGCAATGGTGGTATGAAAAGCCAGAAATTGTGGCTCAAAAGTGAGAAAAACCAGCTTTCTGTCAGAAAAATTAGCTTTGGGAGAGAGAAAAAGAGAAAACTGGTTTCCAAGAGAAAAAGGTGGCCTCCCACCATACTACCACCTCCCTAACAATGAAAATAGGGTCCCTACCAAAAATGGACCAAGACGGATGCAAAACGAGAGTTCGGGGGCCAAAAGGCGCAGTCCGAGGCCCCGAAAATAGGCTGTTAGGCACCGGAAGTGGCGTATGACCACGAAGGTGGTCTCCCGGGCCACAGTGTCCCTCTAAAGGGAGGAAATAAGGTGTGTGCCAAAAATCAGAGCAAACAGAAGTAATTAAGCGGTCCCGAACCGAGGCATACGGTCGATGGCTCCGAAAACCAGAAACTAGCCTCCAAACGAGAAAAATGGCCGAGAACCACGAAACGTAGCCTACGGCCGTTGAGAGATGGTCTACGAGACCTCTCCCTCCCTTTGGGAAGAGAAAACAGAGAAAGCAGGACTTGGTTCGCAAATCGAGGCAAAGCACCAAAGAGCCCCGAAGTCCGGAGGCAAGGCTCGCAGCCGAGACTCCGCAACCTCAGAACGAGCACAATATGCAACATCACCGAGCGCTCAGTTGGTGACGTTTGAGTCTTAAGGTCGGTCAAAAATGGGGTGTCTACAGGTACGTACCTTACCCATTCGCTTGCGGGGGCATGATAAGAGTATAGCTCAAGACCACAGTGCAAAAAATGCAGCCAGTGTAACAGCACAGCAAGAGCACCACAGCATCAACAGAGGATAACTTCTCTGTACAACTGATTCAGTTAGAATAATATTTGTATGTATAGAGTGTATGAGTGTTGGCTAGTAGTTTGCTAGATTAGTTAGATTTTCTGTATAAATAATGATATAGTATCTCATTATCAAATAAGATTGAAGATTTCACATTTCTTGTCATTTTTGACATAAATAGTAAAGGAAATCTCATTTTGTCTCACAAACTATCACTTGTTTTTCAATTTGACGGCCTTACTTCGATTTATTTCAATTTTGTATCTGAACTTTTAACAAATTGATTAATTTAACCCCGGCCGTTACATTCCGTTTACAATTGGACGAAATGTACTGACGTAGTACCAAAGTTCATTTAGAGGTATTTTACCCCCCAAACTATACCTTAAAAATTAATTTACCCCTCAAATATTAAAAAAAAATTAAATTTAAATGTTTAATAAATATTTTTTTATCTCAATAATGAAAAAAATTAAATTTTAAATATTATGTACTTTGCAAAAAAATAATAAAAAAATATAGAAGTCCTCATTTAGAATTATCTTGAGACTATAAAGTATGGATACTTCAACAAACATGTCGTACCCATACCGGTTACTTACTGAATTTTGAAAAAAAATTTCCACTCAATTTTGAAATTACTATTAGTCAATCAATTCTATTGAAATTAATTTGGGTAATAAACTAGTTACAATTGCGCGTGCGCGCACACGCATAAAGTAGTCAAGAAATTTTCGGCTCAATAAGTTTATCTAAGATCAAATCGAGATAATTTGAAACCTATGAAGCACAAGTATGGATATGAGTACTGATATTGGTACGATATAAGTATATTGACATGGTAAAATCTTTTAAAAAATAGGGTATGAGTACAAGTATGGTTTAATACGTTTGTAAAAAAATATTTATTTTTAATTTGAAATAATACAAAAATTGATTAAATGGTTAATTTGTTAAATCCAACATACAATTGACATTTAATGCCAAAAACATAGGTATAAAATAAAATTAAATATTATTATATTAAATAACTTATAAACCATAACTTAATTTTAAAACCATATTAAGTACAAAACTAAAAATGAAAAAGAAGTTTAGTAAAAAGAATTTTATCTTTGTAGTAGAAGAAAAATATTATTTTCGACTGAGGGATGGCACGGCTTGGATATATATTAGATATATCTGGGTAGACCAAAAATTAAGAAAGAAAAATTTGAGTACATATTTTGTATACGCGGTACGTATGCAAAAATATCATATGTCAGTAAGTACCTGGTACGGGTACGACATGTTTGTCGAATTATCCATGCTTCACAGTCTCAAAATAATTCAAAATGAGAATTTTTATATTTTTTATTATTTTTTTACAAAATATATATTATTTAAAATTTAATTTTTTCATTATCGAGATAAAAAATTATTTATTAAATATTTAAATTTAATTTTTTTATATTTGGGGGGCAAATTGATTTTTAAGGTATAGTTTGGGGGGTAAAATGAAATTCCAAATGAACTTGGTGCCACATCAGCACATTCCGTCCAATTGCAGACGGAATGTGACGGCAGGAATTAAATTGATTAATTTGTTAAAAATTAAAATAAAATAAATCGAAATATAGAGGTCAAATTAAAAAACGAGTGATAAATTAACAGGTAAAATAATATTTCCTCTAAATAGTAACAGACCATTACTTTGATGCCCTAAGTATATATATATATATATATATCCTTTTTTTCACAAAGAATCACACATGGTGATAAAAGAAAAGGTAGCATATATAATTGCTTGATTGAAACATTACTACGTACTATAATCCCGTGCATGATTTTATTATGCGGAGAATATATTACCCACATTTCCTAATTTCCAATTGGGGCGATGTCATCCAAGAAATGAACAATGCTATTTAATATATATAAAGGCTTTAGCAACTAAACTTTTTTACCTTCAAAAATGGAAATTTTGTTAAAAAAAACATTGGTGGATTAATTTGTGTTGTTAGGGGAGTCGTTAGTAAAAGATCGTATTGAAAAGTAAAAAAGTAATATTTATCGATAAAATTTTGAAAATGTTATCAATATACATAATTTTAGAAAGAAAAAAAATCGTGCAAAAAAGTTTACTTTTTGAGAATAAAATTTTAGTCTTAAAATAATAGTAGTTCATAACTAAAATAACGCTTTTAACAATTAAAATATTTCGTCTCTAAAACCTTGATATACTTCTTGTATTTTGTTTTACTTCAAAAAATTTATTTATTGACGATAAAAAAAAACATTTAAGGGTAGATTTACCAGAATTAAAAAATAATAAATATATAAATATATATATATATTTGATAACTTGGGCCAACTTATGCACATTTCGATTAAATTCTCTAGTGGCCCTAAAGTTTGGATTGTTTAGTCTTTGTGAGTTTTAAACCTAAAATCTCTTATATGGTAAGCCATATGATTACTTCCTCAATCCACTGAGCCAAACCCCTTCACATTTCATAATATATAAATGCATATATATATATATGTATGTAATCCTACGTGGTGAAGGCTACGTCAGTGTTGAATGGTGTCATTCGAGAACGTAGAACTCTTGCACGGTCATCACGTTTAGTATATTATTGTATTATATTATAAGGATCTTCTTATTATCAACTTGCTATTCCATTGTACATAGATACATTTATGAGGTCACTCTCAAGCAATGACAAATGATTATGTTTTGGAAATATTAATAATGAACTATCTATCTTTTAGAATATATTTTTTCTCACCACCTTAGTCTTCTATATATAACTTCCCATCATACCTCAAGTTCTTCAAAGCCAACTCTCAACTCTCTCCTCACTACACGCATTCTTCAACCATCACTCATCCAACATCTTCCCAACAATGGCCACCGTGTCGAATTTGGGCACTGAAAGGCCGGTGGTGATCTTCAGCAAAAGCGATTGTTGCATTTCCCACTCCATTAAGACATTGATATATAGTTTTGGAGCGAGTCCTGCCATTTACGAGCTTGATGAAATTTCAAATGGACGACAATTGGAAAGGGAGTTGTTGTCGTTAGGACGTCGGCCTAGTGTGCCTGCTGTGTTCATAGGGGGGGAGTTGGTTGGCGGTTCTAATGAGATCATGAGCCTCCAAATCCAAGGGAAGCTAGTCAAATTGCTGAGAGAGGCTAAAGCTATATTTCTGTAATATAAAGTGAGCTTATAACCCACCCAAGCTCCAATGGTAGCCATATAATATTATGGCAATAACTAGTATGGCTTTTTTTCTTTTTGGGTGTCCGTGTGTGAAGAGAAGTACTTGTGTTTTAAGGTGTATTTTCTTTTTTGATGTACTCACTATCAATGTCATAGATATTTACTGTCTTAAACATAAGTCCATCATATCTGTATTTTATTTTATTTTTATCGGTAACAATAAAAGTATATTGAAAATGTATGAAAAACGCACTCCCCTTCAAGACACACAAAATGTATAAACTCACAAGCAGTGGGATAATATTGAATTGAAAGCAAAATTAGGAAGCTAAGTTGTGGCAGATGATATACTCAATATTTTGCAAGGATGTATTTGTGATTGTGAAGGTATATGGTTGAAGAACATAATTGTTTTTACAGAAGTAGGGTTTTCACTACAACAAAATAAAGTTTTATTGATAAAAATTTAAGAATGCACTACAAAAATTTAAGATTTTAGAGATCAAAATTTAGCGACAAAATTATTTTTTAGGTACCAAATATTTTTGTTACGAAAAGTGTTATTATATTTTTAGGAACGAACATTGAAAATTAGACATTAGTGATAAATTATTATCTTTTTTGGAACATTTTTTTTTTCTCAAAAAATAAACCATTTTGAGACCAAATTATTTTGTTCTTAAAAGTCTATTTATTAGTGATATTTTCAAAATTTTGTCGCTAAAAACTTCGTTTTTTTATTTTTCGAGACGACTTTTTACCGACTATCCTCGCAACTATAGAAATTGATCCCTAAATGTCTTTTGTAACAAAATTTTTACTTGTAGAGACAAAAAAATTTAGTCTCTAAAACTCTTATATGTTGTAGTGATGAAATCACTTTTTAAAGATAAAATATTTTAATTGCTAAAAGTAAAAAAAAATTTGGGATAAAATTAGACATTTAATGATGGATTACTATCTTTTTAGAATAAAAAATGTTTCAAAAAGTATTAAAAAAAATTATACAAAATTGTTTTGTCCTTAAAAGCACATTAATTTACTAGTGACATTTTAAAAATGTTGTCACTAAAGGCGACCTTTTACTCTTCGAGACTCTTTTAGTCAAGACTCTAATGACAATAGAAATTGATTTTCTAATTTTTTTTTTTTCAACGAAATCTTTACTTTAGGTGAGGAAAAAATATGGCCTCCAAAACCCAACCCTTAAACCATCCGTAGTAGCCTATTTATATTTTACCCTAAAATATTATTAAAAGATTTATTCTTTATTTTAGGAATCACTTTTTTATTTATTTCTCCCAACAAACTTCCTATTTTTTCTCTATTATATTAAAATAATATTTTATTTCCCCTAGCAAACAGACCCAAGACAGGGTGCAAAACAGACCAACAAAGTAGCAGATTGAAGTAGCCGAAAACAAAGAAGGGTCGTCGACCGACTGGACGACTAGGCAGTCGACCGGTCAGGCCAATTTTAGATATTTTCCTTTTCCAGCTACAGGCACTCACGGGACATCCAAGAAGATATTTGAGAGGACACCCCTTTCGCGCCTTCAACAAAATAAAATAAGAATTTATCAGATATGAGGGAGCTACAGTGACTCCCTACAAATAGGGAGTCACTGTAGCAACACTTATATTTGAAGGGTTGGATAAAGGATCTATTGGGAAGGATTTCTGAAGAATTAATCCCTTATGAGGGAGCTGTTGTGGATGCTTTTATATGTTATAGTGTTTTTTGTACAAATAAAAAAAAAATTAAAAATGGGTGGCCGGGTCATAATTTTTTTTTCCCTCATAAGTTAAATTACAACCAATATCTATTGAATGAAATTATTCATTTATATATATATATATATATTTAATTTCTTCTATTACAAAAACCCTAATTTGTAATTTTTTAAAACTAAATTAACTCCAAATTAGTTTTTTTTTTTTTTTTAAAGAAAAGATATTTTAAAGAAAAGATTAAGCTTCGGATGGTAAATGAAGAGAGTAGATTGTCCCCTAAATCTTATTTTTATGTATATTTTCATCATGCTTCATAGAATCATGTGAGAAATCTTACCCAAAACTTGTAAATAAATTATGAATTTAATAGCCCCATATTCTTACTCTAGTGCTGCCCCTATTTGCATGGTAGAAAGTAAAAGTAACCGACCGCACCCTTTGGCAGTACAAAGTTGAAATTCTCAATTTGTGAGATATACTTGATTCTGCAATATGTTTACTAATCTACGTAATTCAATTTTGTGAAATATTGATGCATATTAAAAATTAAGTTAATTGGATTATATTCATCTTAAAAATAATTTATGGGTTTAACTGAATATTTGAGATGCTACAAAATATTCAAGATTAGAAAAAAATAACCTGGAATCAATCTTGACTCTAATATGTCAAATTTGTTGAGTGCAACAAAAGTATAAATATAGTTCAAAACTACAAAAAATATTTATATTTTAAGTAAATTTTAAAAAATATATTTATAATTTATTTTAAAGATAAAAATCATACGTTTCGAACCACAAACACTTAATTAATAATATAATTTATAATTATAAAAATTAGGGTATAATTTGAATAAGGTTGGAACCTCTAAATGTTTTACCAAGTGTCTTAGGGTAGGATCCACATAAAATTCATATACTGTAAATCTCACACTCATATAATATATTTGATAAAACATTTAAGATTCCTTACATTTTTCGTATGATTTATACTAAAAATTTATTGCTCAATCTATAACTTTACCGGATGTATGCATTTACATCCTTCCTTCGGCATAGGTTCCCATATTTCTAGAAAGGTATGCATTCCCTTGTACTATAATTACGATTAATTTCAATGTAAAAAATAAATAAATAAAGTTAAATCAGGTTATTGATTTACGGTGATATTACATGCATCAATTAGTGTACTAACTAGTGTACCAATACTAATTATGATATTATTATTAAGCCCACTTATTATACAAATTATAAATATCAAAAACTTCTTAAACTATGTTACATCATCAATTAATGCATTGGTTAGTACACTAATTGGTACATATAACATTATTTATTAATTTAACTTCCATTTGAAAATTGATTATTTTAATTTAATTATTAATTTTTATAAAAATAATTAATAAAATAAAAAAATAATGTGACAATTTATAATATTTTTAACTAAAAAGTCAATCCCCAAATGGGGTTTTTAACCTACAAAATTTTAAATCACGTTATTATAAGCTATGGAAGTAAGGGGCTGACCCTCCCTTTTATGTTGCATGTGCTTCATAGATTTTGGTAGAGGTTTAAAAATAAAAAAGAAAAAAATATGTGAAATGTGTGACCTTTCGTTTTATGTTATATGTGCTTTATAGATTTGGGTAGAGATTTGAAAATAGAAAAGAAAAAAATATGTTGTGTTTGAAATGTAGTTATATCTTATTCACATTTCACTTAATTTTTCCTTTTTATTTTCAAATTCCTATCTAAATTCATGATTTTTTATTTTAAATTGATGAACCAAACACAGACTTAAGCATCCATATCTTTTTATCATCACAGAATGCCATTCATTAGGGCATAATGTTTTTGTCTCTACATTCTTCTTTCTCTTTTTTTTTTTTTTTTGATAAATTACAAATTTATCTCCTGAGATTTGCCTAAAATATGAATTGCCTATAATTTGGAAAATTACAAATATTTCCTTGTCAGAATTTTTTATTTAACAAAATTAATTGAAAAAGTGAAATTTTTAATTATTCACCTATACAATAATAAAATTATCTGAATTATTAATCGAAATAAAATTTTAACATTATTAAAAACTATTAATTAACTTGATAATTTATTAATAAAAGAACCTATTTATTATGAAATTAAAAACCTTAAGGGGCATAATGTAATTTCTTAAAGTAGTTTTAGTTTTGGGCAATTACTTACTTTTTTTTATATATATTGTAATTTTGTGCATTTTAAATGTATAATGTTTTCACTAATACACTCGGAGATGCACTATGAAAGAAGTATTATATGAAAATCAAGCAAGAAAAAGAAAAACAAATAAAAGAATACAATGAATGTGGAATAAAAATTAAAGATCAAAACTCCAAAAGCAAGAAAGCAAACAAATAAACAAAGTTTTTTTTTTAAAATATTCTATAAAAAATTAAAAAAATAATAAATAATTTAGAGATTTCACCTCTTTTTCAAACTATTTAGGAAACTAACTTACTTTTTGAAAACAAAGTTTTTTTTTTAAAATATTCTATAAAAAATTAAAAAAATAATAAATAATTTAGAGAATTCACCTCTTTTTCAAACTATTTAGGAAACTAACTTACATTTTGAAATCGCATTTTGAAAATGTGATTTTGAAATTGAAATCCATGTTATCATAAATTGCATTTTCAACATGTGATTTCAAGATGGAATTTCATGTTGAAAACAGAATTTCAATTTAAAATTGCAATTTCAAAATACAATTTTAAAAAATAAATTAGTTTCCCAAATAGTTTGAACAGTGGGTCAATTCTCTAAATTGTTTTTTTTTTAGAATATTTGTTAAAAAAAAAACTCCAAATAAGTATAATAGAATATTAAACAATAAATATTTGAAAATTTGTAACAAAATTTTATAACACTCCTTTTTGCTAAGAAAATTATATTTGGTACTAACTAAATAAAATGTTTTTAAAATAGTTTTTTTTTTTTAAATTTGAAATTAAAACTATAGTAAATTTATGTAAGCAAAATTGCTAACCACATTTTTTTACTTGATGTATAATATTTATATTGACTACATTTTTTAGGTTTGTTTTTTTAGGTATTTATATAGAAGAAAAAAAAATATCATTAGGAATAAATTTTTCCTTAATTTAGTTATAAATTTTACCCGTAAATTATTTTTAAATTTTGAATAAATGCAAACATTAAATAATTTATTGAAGATACTGTATTTATTATATTTCTTTTTCTGTATGCAAAAAAAAAAATT